TAATTCAAAAAACACTTGGATAAAGTGGTCTAAATTGCAAAAAACCTTTATAGGTAGTTTTTTTTTGACCTTATATTAAAAAAAAAACTTTTTTAATAATGAGGGACATTTGAATTATGTCCTCACCTTTAATTTAGGGACCCATTTTTACTCGTAAGTAAAATAGGTTGTAAATTTAGAGTCTTTGATAATATGTAAAGATCAAATATAGTATTCTTTTTAAATAAATCGATAATTGTAAATTTTTCATTAACAGTTTCCTGACAGAAAACTTTGTCACGTTCAGTGGACTTAAACAAGAAATGATGGTAACGTCTAATGTTAGGGACTTTTTTAAAATAAGGAATAAAATAATTGACAAAATCAAAATATTTCCACTTATGATCTTTGTAATGGATTGCATTATTGCCATGGATAGACATTCTAGTTACTTTAGCAATGTCATCAACAGTATTTATTACTGACTTTTTGTAATGAGCTTTCAAAAGTCAAAATATCTATCACAAATAAATTTTTTGTGCCTGGGTATCATGAAATTAAGTTAAATAATGTCAAACATATCAATTAGTACCAATTAACAGTAGAAAGCAATAGTAGCATTATTCTTGTTTTGCCCTTCACAGTTATCACAAGTAATCTTGATGTTCTTCTCACTTCTGTTACATTCAATAAATGTGTCATAGATCAAACTTAGAGTTGTATTTGCACTCTTTACTACTCCTACAGGAAACTCCCCTTCATCTACAAGGTAATTTATTTGATGAGATTAAGGCTGATTACTGGTATCATTAATTCCAAAAATATTGACTAAGCATATACTCTTAAAATACAAAGGACCAATTTTTTGTGGAGAATATGATATTGGAATACTCTGCATCTAATCATAACAAAAATGAGCAATAGTTAGCATTATTCATATTTTAAAAATTTGACAGTTATATATTTTTCACAAAACAGTTTGAAGAGGCATTATAAAACTCTTACTATTAACAGTATTTGGAATAGGTCTTTCTTTACTAGTAAGTGATGAATGAATATTAATAGTATGGGAATCATTTTCTTTTGCTTTTTTAATATTATCATTGTAATATTCACATTCAAGTTTAGCAATTCTTATATGACTAGCATATTCAACTAATAACTCTTCTTTATCTTCAGGCTTGTTAGTATGACTAATTTTTCATCTTAATGTTTCGCAAACATTGCATAAATCTGACTTGGGAGTCATAAACTTAATATGAGAAATGAGCAATTTCCATAAACGAACAAAAGAGAACCGACTGATTTGATTGTTATTTCTGTTTATCAATTTCATAGCTTGTTCATATTTATGAAAAACGGAAGTATAGTTTTCATCTATAGGCAAGTAAATCAATACCTGATTATTTCTTTCTAGATGGCTACCAGGTCTTGAAAGTCCATTAATATCAGCATAATTAAGAATAAAAGATGAAACTTCTTTGGCATTATTATGAGTCATGATTACTTTGCTTGATCGCTGAGGCAAACGTTTGATATTACCATGTATTCTCATTGTTAGTTCATATTTCTCTAGTTGTCGCTTGATCACATCAAGTTTATTTTTACTAACCCCTAACAGTTTTAGATAGACTGTCATACAGAGAGCAATTTGTTCATTAAATTGGTATCTAAAAAAATTGCACAAATGATGCCTATCCATTTTTATATTTTCATTACATTGGAACACCAATATTTGTCCCATTAATATCGCATCTAATTATTCTTCACCCAAAGCTCAAAATTGGAGATGACGTTCAAAGAACCATTTAAATCCCATGACCTTAAAGCACTTTTTATTTTCCTTATTATCACTAGAGCATTGATATTTAACAGTAGTAAAGAACTTGTTCAAGTCTTGAATGATATTTTGTGCTATCTCATTATTTTCATAGTCATTGAAATTATAATTTTCAAGGTTAGCAGACAATTGGTTTTCCTTTTCATAATGACTGAAATCATAACTGTCTATCAAACTAGTAGAACTGATAGAATAATGCTTAACTATTTTTTGAAACATAAACTAGTTTTATATGAAATAAATCGATAAATTTGTTCTCCTTTATATATTTTATTTATGTATTTACTTATTATTGAAGAGTGAAAGGTATGAATGACAGAATAAACAATCAAAAGAGTAAATAACAGGTAAAAATAGAACGCAATGTCTGTTATGTGACTGATTGTCGCATTAATAACAAGATGGCAAGAAGTGACAAAAGTGATGATCCAAGAAGCAACGACCAACCCCGCTCCAATGACGATGCCTATGAAGGATTCGGCTGCTGGTATATGCCAAATAAAGGAAGAAGCTTTGTTCTGACCTAAAAGAAATCCCAAACCAATTAGGGAAGCTCCAGAATGGCTCGTGCAGAAAAAAAGTGAAGCCTAAAAATCAATAATCACGGGATCGGTGATATATGTGCCTTCCCTTCTAAAAATTAAATTAAATAAAAAAAATAAAAAATGAATGCATAAACATTATACGGCTCCCAAAGAAACCATGTGTCCTAGGAGAAGACCCCTGAACCAAGAAGATACTTATCTCTCAGTGAGATGACAGTCCCAAGGATACTGCCGGAACGTATAAGAAAGAGAAAACGGCAAACTAGCAATGGCCGTTTCTTTTTTTTTTTAAAAAAAAAAAAATGGCACCTAGAAAAACAAGTATCATATATATGTTGCTGAAATTCGTAGATCATTGATGTAATTGATGCAATTATTTGATGCAATTAATTGAGTCACTATTAAAACATATAAATAATTGAGTCATGATACAATTATTTTTGAGGATTTTGGAAATTGAGTCAACAGCAAAATAATTTATACCACATGTATAAAGTATCGTTAGTATTAAAAAAAAATTGAATTTGAGTGCCAATGTCGCCACTGGTAGTATAGAGAAAAATCTGAGTTCATTGACCTTAATGTGCAAGGAGTACCAAAGATATACTTTTTGATTGCACAAACACTCCTTGAAAATCTGAATCCGAATATTCAATGAAAGCAGAAAATGCTTCAGGTCATAGTGCCCACCTATTTGAACAGTCTCCTAAAGAACCAAACAAGAACACGGAAATACAGATTTACCCAAACCCAAAGAAAGATAAAAGTTGAGAAAGTGAATGGAACTACAAGATGGCATCAGGAAATTTTTTGAGCGGAGGAACTTTGCATATCTCCGCCATCGTTAGAGATCTCCAGAGAATTAAAAAAATATATATAAATTTCAGAAATCTCTGAAAATTTATTTCCTCCAAAGAATATCGAAGGTTTTCGAAAGTTATTAAAATATTACAAACATTTGCAAAAACCTTCAAAAATCTCCGGAGGAAATAAATTTTCGGAGATTTTCAAAATATATATATATATATTTTTGATACTCCGGAGATCTCTAATGACAGCGGAGATATGCAGAGATATACGGAGTTCCTTTGCTCAAAAATTTCCTGATGGGGGCACAAAAAGGTTTCTGTTAAAAAAAAGGTCACAAGAAGGAGGATGGCGTTCCAACCACGAAGAAAAAAAAATTGTTCTACCTGCGATCAATTTACCAACAGCAGTTACAAGTTCTTCAAAAACCTCACTTCCCTTAAAAATCAAGCTTCCGGCTAGATCTTTACAACGAACAATACAAAAAACCTAATGATATCACTTATAGAGATAACAAATATTTATGATCAATATCCTTCTTTCACTTTGTCATCCATGCGATACCGAATACAACTTGTAAAGCTTCGATGGTCTCTATCTATATCTGAGTTTCTATGACCTATTTTGGTACACAGTAGTAAGCAGTACAAATGGTATGAGCATGAATCTCATATCAGAGAACAGCTGGACACATTTGGTTATCCTGTACATTATGATCACTTGTACCATCTGTGATGATGGGAAGTGCGAAAATAGTAATGTCGTCATATTTTGTGATGGTTGCAATTTGCTATTCACCAAGACTGCTACGGTATATCTTATCTTCCTGAAGATTAATGGTTATGCCGTAAATACATCATCTCACCAAAAGGCAAAGAACTAAAACTTATCTGCAAGATTCCAGTGGCTCATGCCAGGGACATGATATTGCCGAGGGTCAAGAAGAACCCATGGACGGCGAACTGGATGCCGAGAGCATGGAGCCAGGGAAGAAAGGATGGTAAAAAAAGTTAGAAGCCAATGGTAAAATAAAAGAAAATGTCGCAACTTACCAGAATTGACCAAGACCGATGATTAGAAACATCAAAATGCTATCATTATTGTGATCACGATGCAAAGAAAATAATAATAATAATAAGTTTATTTCACAAAGTACACATCGAGAATATATATGCATGTATATATATTCACCAATATGAGAGAATATGATACTGACAATTGGAAATACTGGGATACCATCATAATCGTGATCATGATTGCACACTTCTTCCTAGTCATGAAGAAGATAAGAGGAGCAAGAGTGAAACCAGAAGCAATCACATACAAAAAGAAATCACTTATTGTTGATAAGATGCTGGCTTCGAAGAGAAACAATATTAGGAAGCTGTTATGGCCGTAATTACGATCATGCCCCTCATTCTAAAGAAACCAACAAAATTAGATGGAACAGAGCCAACAATTAAGCCATACTTATCACGACGGACCTCCAACAGCATGGATGACGAATTGCAATGACGAGCTTCCAGAACCACAGGAGAAATACCGAATCGATAAAACCACAGGAGCTATGATAAACAAGACCAATAGAGGAACAACCAGGATGAGAGAAAAGAAAGGTCCAACAAACCACGATTTATTACATACAGCAAGCTCAAGCCCGACAGAAAACTTACCATAACAAGTGATACTTGAGATCTCTAGAATACAGCATAGAAGACAAAGCCCTCATGTACAGAGCCACCTTACAGTATTCAAGAAGCAACAAGTTCGATCCTAAGTAGTGAAAACTGTTTTACATACATGATTGACTATCTAATCATGTATACCAGTTGCACACAATGGATGGCAAGGTACTTGTATCCCCAATCAATACCCAGAACCTAAAAAAATACCATAAGAGAAACTGATCACATAAAGGGAAAAGAAAAATGTATAGTACACATATGATAAGCGTAGGGGAATGTAACAGATAAAAATGGAACGTGACGTCTGTCACATGACCGATTGTCACGTTAATGACAAGACGGCTGTGATAATTAGGTAATCAGGAAGAGATGGAAAGGAATGTGAAAAAGAATTATGTCATCTAGCTTTAGCCATATCATTGTATTAGCGTCTATTATTTTATGGCTAAGCCGCCATAGCCAGATGTAAAGAAAGAGAAATATAAATGGAATGTAAAAGATAGAGAGTAAGAAAACAATTAGAGAAGAAAATTAATCAAAACTTGGTCAAATAAAACATGCCTCAAATCACCCTTTCATTTACTTATCTAATAATGGTTATGTGAGTTTCTGCTAGAGTGAGCGACAAACTCGCTATTACACCATTACAGTATTATTATTGTAATGATTAGCAAGAATTTTAGAATATGGATTTGAGATTTCAGTGATCTTGCTTGTATCATGCTATCAAACTTCTAATTGCTATTGTAAAAAACTTTACTATTACACTTGAGATTAGGAAAACAGTATAAGGTAAATAACATTCTCAAGTATATATCCTACATAAAAACTCAATTTCAACTTCAAATTACCAACTATCCATTTTCATAGATCAGTTATCATTTATAAGAATTTTAATGTATTAATTTGTAAAATAAAAACTTAATTGATTAAAAAATAACTTATTAAATTTTAAGTTGCTTATTTAATTTTTTAATTAAAGAAATTTATATTAAAATCAAAATTTAAAATTTTTTAAAATTTGTTTTTATTAAATAAAAAATAAAATTATTTTCATAAAATTATTTTGTACATTATAAAAAACTTTTTAGAATCTTTTGTTAGTTAATTAATTTTTTTTAATTTTTTAAATAATTTTTTTAAAAAAATTTTATATAATAACAATTATTTTTTCATCCATAATTTATATATAAATTTATATATATAAATTTTTAACAAATTTTTAACAAATTTTTTTTAGTTTTGAAATCAAATTTTAAAATAAACTTATTAATAAAGTATTAAAAAAAATTTATTATTTTATTTTTTATATTTTAAAAAACATATCTTTAAAATTTTATAATAATTAAATAAATAATATTTATCCAAAAACTTTTTAGACAAACTGTATATACAGTATATATATAATTAATTATAAGACAAAAAATATTCAAAATATTATTAATATCTAAACATATTATTTTAATAATTTTACTTTTCTAAAGTATAATAATATTTTTTAAAATAGTCAAATTACTATTTAATAATATTGATAACATGTTTGGCTTCGCGTTTTTACAGGCTGTGCGAAAAATTTAATATCACATAAGATTAAGGATCCTAACGATTCTCTTCGATTCTGTATTCGATTCTCAAGTTTATATTAAATTTAATAGGTGGGGTATACCCCATTATCATTTTTAATAGTGTTCCGAACCTCATGCGATTCTGTTCGATTCTATTCAATTTCAATTTTCGGAACCATAGGTGGGATATATCTTACTATTATTTTTAATAGTGTTTTGAATCTCATGCGATTCCCTGCAATTCTGTTTGATTTTAATTTTTGAAATCATAAATAGGCTCCATATCCAACTTATCAATACTTCAACTATATCACAAATCTACAAACCACCTAACTTTTCACAATTATAATTAACAATAGAGTTGTGACCTACGAGCAGCAATGCTATTATTAAAGAAAAAAGGTAGCCTAAGCCTAATCAATATAGATAAAAGTAAACAATGAATATATTGCTAGTCCTCCAAGTCAACAATATAAATATTTTTAATGTATGGTTTGGTTTTTTGGTTTGTAAAGAAGATCTCCAAGAAAAGAATATAGTTATTTAATAAGAAATATGTATTGGTAAGAAGTGAAAATGGGAAGAATTCCAAGGAAGATTTATAAAGAAGTAATTGTCATAAACCTTTCCTCATGCAATTCAAAGAAAGAACAAGGTTCTCAAGCTTGCTTTTCTTTGGCCAGAAGTTCCATTCTGATGTATCAATATACTTCTTTAGTTTTCTTAAGGTTCTTGTAGTGAAGATAAAGAATGTATTGTATGAAGGATTTTGGGAAGTTGAAAGGCAAGAAAAATATTTGTTTCTTTAATTTTGAAAGATAATTACTAAAAAAGGAAATTTTTAAGAAAAAACTTGTGTACAGGAAAAATATTCTTATAATTTAAGTTTATTAAATATCTTGAAATTGTTATATATATAATTTCAAAAGTTGGAATTAAACAGATTTATATAAATTTACATAAAGTTTGAAACACTATTAAAAATAATAGTAGGTTATAATTCATATATTAAATTTAATATAAATTTAAGAATCAAGAATTAAATCAAATTAAATTGTTTGGATTTTTAGTTATATAAAATATTTTAATATTTCTATTTAATTATTTAATTATTGAAATTTTTATAAAAAGTTTTAAATTATAATATAAATTTTTTTTAATCTATAATATAAACCTATTTTATTAAAAAAAAAAACTCTCTCCTGATCACATCTATTTTGTTAAAAATTTTTCTTTTATGATAATTTTAAGCAAGAAAAAATGGTTTATACTCTTTATCGCAAGTGAGCCCTAACTATGGTTCCGAAAATTAGAATCGAATAGAATCGAACAGAATCACATGAGGTTCGGAACACTATTAAAAAATGATGGTGAAGTATATCCCACCTATTAAATTAAATATAAACTTGAAAATCAAATACAGAATCGAAAAGAATTGTTAGGATCCTTAGCCCTAACTCAGGAACTCAAAAACTTTCAAGACAATTGGTGCAGTGAGATGGAACCTCTGGTCAAAGTCTATTCAAGTTTGGGAGTCTTGCTTATCCTTCAGTTGCATGAGAAAAAGCCTGTGGCAGTTCTCTTTTCTTCAGTTCTCTTGTATCCCTCCTTACTCTTATTATATTATAAAAATCATATACATCATTACCATTATACTTGCTAAGTCAAACACTTTCCAAAATATATATTTAAATAGAGTTAGTGGGTCTACTGTTTGTTTAAAGTCAACCCACACATACAATATTTTTGTAGCAATATTTGCTGTGCCATTTTCAATTTCCAAAAAATTTTCACACAAAAAACCAAAATCAGTTTACCTCCTCAAGATTATCAGCACTCTTCAATCATCCAATCAGATTTCATTTAAAGATCAAAACAAAATCCAAACAAGCTTAAACCGGTTTTGTACTATAACAACAATCACAACAACAATAACAACTAATATACTACCAATAACTATAATAACAAATAATGTCACATATACTCTATTATCTATGATAACCGACGAGCTGGAGAAATAGGACAATAAGCTTGTCCGGGGGCTTCTGAGGGAAAATAATTGGATTTCTACTTATAGATTTTATAATATATTTGATTTAGTTTTAGTTACAGTTATTTTTCTTTTTCTTTTCAATTTTTTACACTTAAAAAATCAAAAAAATTTGCAAAATTTCCTGGAATGATAGGCATAACCACTACTCAGCCTTATCTAGCACATTAATATTGATTTTGAATTTTTTTACGATATTAGTTAGATATTGTAGAAGTAGTCAAGCTAGCATTTAACTTGTTGTATACAATGCACTCAAGAGATATTGTTTCTTTCACGATATATACCATGTTATATACAATATCAAATAAAGAAATAATGTTTACCTATTGGGAAAATACTCTCCAAAAAAAAAAAACTAGAAAGATAAACAATAAGTCAGACTAAAGGTTTATTAAAAATAATTTTTTTTATATAAATTTTATAGTTTATTTGATTTTGTTTTAGTTTTAATTATATTTTTTTTCAAATTTTTTTTATATTTTAATTTTTTTTATTAAGTAAATAGGTATAGTCACTACTTGATCTATATTTAGTATTAATATTGTTTAAAAAAATTTTTTTTAATATTAGTTATTTATAGTATTAATAAATAGGTTAATATTTAATTTATTATATGCTTATATTTAAGAAATATTGTTTATTTTTAAATATATATCTTGCAATATATAAATAATTTTTATATTTAAAAATATAAAATATTTTTGATTATTTTTAACATTTATATACTGTATATACATAAGTAAATTTGTAAATACAAATACATCATATGATGTAAATCAGTAATCATATAAAGATATATTATACATAAATTCCTTTTTTTTTCTGTATCCTGGTGTTGCCTGAGTGAGGTAATTCTTAATAAATCCAAAAGGCAAGAGGAATCAGTTATGTACAGTCACCCTAAAAAGTGATACCTGATTATCAATCAAAATCAACTTAGGTAAGTATATATATATTTTTTTTTTTTTATTCTATATACATAAAAAAAAATTTTTTTTATTTAATTAACATTTAGTCAACTCTCCATTTGCTTTTATTATGGTATCAATTCTTTATGGCATTGAGTACACAACCTTTCGAAAAAATGATATATCAAATTTTGACCACTCTTCCGTTAAAGTGACCTTGAGCTTATCTATAGTTCTTGGAAAATTTTCGTGCTTTTGGATATTGTTCTTTAACAGTTTCCAGATATTTTCGATCGGGTTTAAATCAAGGGAGTTCACAGGCCAATCAATAATTCAAATATTTTCTTTTTCAAACCAATTTTTAATAATCTTTGCTGTGTGAATTGGAGTATTGTCATGCTGAAACATCAAATGTGATAATATCAAATCATGATTTTTACATTGAAATGATAAAAGATAATTTTCCAGAATCTTTTGATATGTTTTTGCTATTATTTTTTCTTTTTTTTCTTTATATTTGTCACAAAAAACTAATAGTCCTTTTGTTTTGCCTATAAAACACCTCCACATCATTATTGTTCACCGGCTACTCTTAAATGTAGGTATCAAATACTCGGAATCATATCTTTCTTCTGAATTTCGCCAAACTTTTATTTGTTAGTACGATTTTTTAATTTCTATACTTGTTTCATCAGAAAAAATTACACGTAACCAATCATAGATTGTTTTGTTTTTGTTTTTTTCACACTAGTTGAGGTGTGCAGTTGCATTACTTTCTGATATGAAGAGTTTTTTCGCAATGACATGAGATCGAATTCCAATGTTATACAATATATTTGCTACAGTTTGTGGATTGCATTTAAGCTCTAGACTATTTAAAATTTTGCATAATGGTGTGCAACGTTTTTTGATTACTTCTTGTATTAGCATTTCCTTTTTCTTTTCATTAAGGGCTTGTGGTCTACCAGATTGCGACATATTTGTTATTTTTTCAGTTTTTCAATATTTTGTAATAAATCATTGAATTGTTGTAAGGTTTCGTCCTATTTTTTTTGCTATCTGCTCAGGATTCATATTTTTCAAATATGCAAGTATTTTTCTTTTATCGATATCAATTAATTGTGTACTGCCGGAAGTCATAATATTTTTTAAAAAAAAAATTATACGAAATATGTTAAAAGAGTAACAAAAAACAACAACAAAAGGATAGGCGTAAAAAATGACAAAAAGGGTAAAAAAAGTCATGATATAATTTATTATACTTTTATACTTAAAAATCAGGCATTACTTTTTAGAGTGATTGTACCTTCCTTATAACAGTCAAAGAGTTGGAGCTTGCTCGTAAGAGAATAATTGGTATTTTGGTCTCTTGGTCCTCACCAGGTAAGCGTATTGGGTCTCACTGTCTCTTGTCTTCACCGGGCTCGTTGCTAAGAATGTATTAGGTTTCTCGGTCTCTTGATCTTTACTGGAATTATTACTCTTTAGAATTCATTACCAGCAAAATAGTTAGGTAAGTATGGTTTTTTTTCCTAAACGGTTGATATTAAAATTATATGTAGTTCCCTTATTTCAAATAATTTTAAGTTTTGACATTCACGTAATATCCTAACTCAAAAATTCTTTCCCTATTATCTAATCTATTGTGCTTTTTTATTTAATCTAAGTAGAGTAAAATACTTTTATTCTAGAAGAGGTAGTCACCTCATTCATCAAGAAAGTGAAATTTGCTAAAAAAGGTATAGAGTATACTAAAAAAAATAATTTAAACTAATCCAGCGAATTATTAATTAATATTCCCAATTTTTTTAGATATGCTCAAGAAAAAATGAAAGGCAAACTGATATAAATATGTCTGGTTTGTTACAACAGGTGAGGGATCTTTTTTCTTGACAAAAAACTATTAATAATATTAACGATCTTTGACTTTTCCACTAGATATACACTGTATTTAAGATACTATATGGTATATAAGAAGAATAAAAGACAATCATAGATCATTCTTCTTAGCAGAAGAGAGAGAACCTTTCATGTTTAAATCTCGCAAAAATAAATAATTCTTTTATATTAAAAATTTCTTCGTGGTTACAAAAATCTGGTATTGTAGAGAAAAATGTTAAGGATACTCTTGATTCAACTATAAATGAATCATACATCAATTTTCCGCTGAAGGTTACTAAAGGCTCAATATGTGCATCAACAAATAATGTTATGAAGTGATAGAGTTCTCTAAAAATCACTATCTTGCGATCCAAAATGTCACTTATTTATCATGTCATATCGTTGCCTGTCTTGATAAATAATTTATTTTAACTTTATATTAGATTAGTATATACTGTATATTGATTCTTTTTTTTATTTAACATTAGGAGTAACTATGAGAATATCTATGCCATCAGAGAAGAGGTAGATAATAAAGTTGCTCAGAAATTAATAGAAAGAGCAGCTACACAAGTCAAGACCACCGAAAAGAAAGATCAATGATAACTTTTGTAAAATGACAAAATTTTTTTTGAATGTTCTTGAAGAGGTCAAGGAGGAGACCGAGAAAGGACAAAAACAGGAGATTATGAAGTTGATATTAAAAAAGGATGAGCGCTTGGCAAAGATTTGGGAAGTAGTTGTTACGAGGAAAAGCAAGAAAGAGCAAGTTCGCAAATTTATTAAGTTAGTGAACACGATATTCAATATTGTGGGTATTCGAGTATTTGATGACCTTCTATAAACCTATATAGTAATTTAATCATTCTATTTTATCTAGAGTTTAATGGAAGTTTTGAATGATATAACAGATTCGGAACTCAATGACAATGGAGAGTAGTACGAGAAAAGAGAGATAGGGAAGCATGACGAAATAGGTTCTGTGAGTTTAAGAGAGAAAGAAGGGAAATAGTACGAGAGATGTGAAAAAAAAGATGATGATAGTAGGTCGGCCCATTTTATTATACATAATTGAGAAGAACGAATAATTTTTTTAAAGAATTAATTGATAAATCACAAGAACTGCTAAAAAATTCGAGTTAGATGTAAATAAGGATTTACTAAAAATCGCTTGTAAAATAAAAAATATTGCAAATATACTTACATAATTTCGCATGTCGCATAATTCTATTCTTCATTAAGAAGGCGCTCGAAAGGGTGGCTCTAAAAATGCGGATCACTTGATAAACATGTCACAATGGCACTGCATTGCAATGATTGCAATGCCATATGAATGATAATCTGATAATTCTTTACTTAATATTAGCGAAAAATTTGAAAACTGGTCTTCCTCTTAACTTCAAGTTATTATACTCTCGACATGATTACTTAAGTACATTATGTTTATCCGTAATTCTTTTTACCAACAATTAATTAGATATTACATCATCTGCTGATAGAATCTTTCAGGGATAATATTATGAACGGATCTTAAAAGCATAGGTCAGTCAAAAAACACTTAATGTACAGTTATAAAAATGAATTGTGTATATTATTTAGTTACATAAATAAATATATACGATTGTTAATATGTTCTTTAATTATAGGATAGAAATAAGTTAAAATACATTGATAAAGATAAATTTTATTCATCATTAAATAAAAACCCATAATTTTATTTAAAAATAATATACAGGTCAACTCTCGATAATTGCAATTTTTAATGAAATGGATTTTCATGTCACAATTACTATAATTATGCATATTGGATTTCCATAATTGATTATAGTAATTAATTGCAATTAGAAAAAAAAATTTACCAGTTAATTACTAAATATCAGAAAAAGAGTATACTATAACTTGCTAAAAAAAAAATAATTAAATTCAAATTAATTAATATACTTTTGATATAAATTTACTTAATAAAAAAATGTTTACATTATAAAATAATATAACTCAAATCAATTAAAACATATTTGATATGAATTTACTTAACTAATATTAATAAAAATATGCTCGCCACCTGTAATCGTAGTTAAAGTAAAGAATACAACTTAGATCAATAAAAACACCTCAAAATAAATCAACTTAACAAATATTAACAAAAATATCCTTATCACTTGTAATTGTAAAATAAAGAATAAAAATACGCTTACCCCCTAAAAGTAAAGAATGTAATGTAGATCAATTGAAATAAATCAACTCAACAAACATTAATGAAAATATGCTTACCAACTGTAATTGTAGTTAAAGTAAAAAATATAACAATTAAATCACTGAAGATATAAATTTTCTCAACAAATATTAATAAAAATATGATTGCCTGCTAAAAGTAAATAATATAACTCAGATCAATTAAACTAAAGCTAGGATCCAAATGTATAATTGGATATCCTTATAAGTATTGTTTTTAATCCAGATATATAATTATACTGTATATACTTTTTTAAATTCATTTATAAAATAGTTAAATCCAGATATCTAACTAGATATCCTTTTTTTTTTTTGGGGGGGGTTTCCCCTGTAGGTAAACATCATTTCTTTATTTGATATTGTATATAATATAGTATACATCGTGAAAGAAACAACAT